TTGTTTTCCAAGCACTACCAAGCCTCAACAGCAAACCAATAACCAACATCATGCTGATGATTTGCATTAACAATGAAACAGCTGTCCATGAGTGGTTCACTGGCTTTGCATCTTTTACTAAGTTGTGTTTCAAAGCTGGTGAATACAGCAAACACTGACTCAAAGGAAACCATAAATGGGAGGGATGGATCAGCGCTGTAGATATCTAAGTAGTGGAAGTGAAAAGAAGCTGGCAGCTAACCCCAAGAGTAGAAATCCCTTTTTTCCTACGAATGGAAATAAAACACAGAAAAAAAGAAAGAGCTAGGGGTAGGGCCACAATTTTGATATGTACAATGATATATGCAGTATGTGCTATATAATAGATAAACAAATAAATAGTTTAAAGTCCAAAATGGTAACACAAGTCCAAGAGATAATGTAGATATGCACTTACCAGAAGTATTTTATTTACCAAGTGTTTTATGGAGCTGTAACTACCTCCAGTATAAATGTCATACTGTGGTACAATCCCCACTTGCAAGAATATGTGAGAATGAAGCTTTTGTAGTAGGTGGACCATAAGAATAAAAAGAAACAACAATAGTCCTCACTGAATAAAATGCCAAAAGTAAGGATAAATGGAAATGTACTCAAATTTGAAAGACCAGACGGACTGCTCTACGGATCAGGCGTGGGTGGTATAAACCCCACCAAGAATGTCTTTAAAGTAGTACTCACTGGAGATAAAAATCAGGTGCCAGGCAGTATGAGGTAAACTAAACTAAAATCCAAATAAAATAGCAGTGATAATAAAAATGTAGAAAAAAAAAAAAAGAGTAAAATTGGCACACTCTAGCAAAGTGTAAAAAAAGCCAAAGTACCTTTATTCATAAAGGTAATTCAATAATAAAACACAGGTTAAAAAAGCATAAATAGTAACCACAACGCGTTTCGCCTCTAGGACTTCTTCAAGTGGAGATAAAAAGGAGTGATCTGATTTATGAGGGTTTAAATAGTGGAATGATCGATTGTCAATTTGAAATTGGTGCCAAAATGCCTTCATTAGCATTAGCATGATAATCTAATCTATTGTATACCTTTAAAAATTAACCCTCTATAGGTTGAGAGAGATGGGGTTAATATATTGGTTATATTTATATTTAAAAACAAAGCTTATATGTGATAAAAACGGATATAATGAAGTAGTCAATAAAAAAATATATATATGTTTTATTTAACCCCTTAAGGTTATTCCAGAAGTTTGGTCCTTAAGGGGTTAAACAGATAAAATAGTTCTGGGTAGATACAAATAATAAATAATTTTTAAACAGGCAAATAACCTTAGGGAGAAACCTTACCCTGGACTGGATAATAAAAAGAACATTATGAAATAGGGAAAGTGGAGGGGATATTAGAGACACAGATTTCATGATTATTAGAAAATATAGCAATATAAGTAAACCATCTTTAGAGTCCATCTAAATATTGAGAGAGATGGGATTAATATATTGGTTATATTTATTTAAAAATGAATAAAAAAATATATATATAGAAATGGGAATTATCTCTATAGAATATTTGAAAAAGTATATTTTTTATAAAAAATTAAAGAAAATTAAAAAGGTCAAAGTCTACATTTATCCACTTATCCAAATCCATTTGGTGCAAGGGTTTTTAAAAGATAGACCCAATACATTTCTTTCTGACCTATGATTTTTTTGACATTGCCACCTCTCCAGGAAATTTTAAATATCTGTATACTAATGCATTTTAGATGTTTAGGGTTTTTATCGTGGATTAGAAAGTGTTTTGATACTGAGTGATTTGGGTATCCTCTGATTATATTTCGAAAGTGTTCAGTTAGTCTGGTTTTTAAACACCTAGTTGTCATTCCAACGTACTGGAGGCCACATGGGCACTGTCTGGGTCACTTCTGTACAGTTCGTCTTCTATTTTGTCGAGCTATGCGGCATCGCCTCCTCGTTGTCTATGTGTCTATTATTATTTGAGTCTATTTGTGAATTCTGCCTTAGTAGTGGTCAGTATCCAGTGGGTTCAGATTCCCGAGTACCTGTCTGGGGGAGTGGATGTGTTCATGATGAGTTACCAGTATAATTTTAACCTCAGAATTCAGCAGCAGTATTAACTTTTACGGCACAATTAATACTAAAACATTTTTATCTAAAGTCTGTACTAACACCATTATCGACCAATCCAGCTGTCACCACAAATCATGGTTAACGAGTATACCCAAAAGCAAATTCTTACGCCTCCGTAGAAATTGCTTCTATGTCGAAGATTTCAATGAACAAGCCCTAACTCTTAAAAAAAAAAAATTATCGATAAAAATTATTCCCCAGATAACCTTGACAGATCTCTTACAGCAGTCAAACAAAAAAAAATAGATCAGACCTCTTGGAATATAAAACTAAAAATAACAAAGATTCCTCTTTTATGCCAATCATTTTAAAATTTTAATAACAATAGTCACAATATGAAACAAATCCTTAAAAAACACTGGCACATTTTAAAACAAGACGGCACTTTCAAATAATTTATCCCAGATAAACCCAAAGTAGTTTTGAGAGGTGCTCCTAGTTTTAGATCTATTTTAACCAAAAATTACACCAAAACCATCCATATCCTTTTTATCTCAATCTAAATGTTTTTTTTTTTTTTAAATGCAATCGATGTATAGTCTGCAAAACTATAGATCCAAACATTAAGTCCAAAACTCCACAATTTACATCCAATATCACTAAAAAAACCTACCCCATCAAAGACCTTATATACTGCAATACCAAAAATTTGATATATCTACTGGAGTAACCACATGGCCTCCAGTACGTTGGAATGACAACTAGGTGTTTAAAAACCAGACTAGCTGAACACTGTCAAAATATAATCAAAGGATACCCAAATCGTTCAGTATCAAAACATTTTCTAATCCAGAATAAAAACCCTAAACATCTAAAATGCATTGGTATCCAGAAATGTAAAATGTCCTGGAGAGGTAGTGATGGAAAAAAAAAATCATAGGTCAAAAAGAAATGTATTGGGTTTGTCTTTTAAAAACCCTTGCACCAAATGGATTAACCCCTTAAGGACCAAACTTCTAGAATAAAAGGGAATCATGACATGTCACACATGTCATGTGTCCTTAAGGGGTTAAATGTAGACTTGGCCTTTTTAATTTTCTTTAATTTTTTTATAAAATATACTTTTTCAAATATTCTATGGAGACAATTCCCATTTCTATTTATATTTTTATTCATTTTTACCATATGTTTTGTGTTCATATGTTTATTTTTTTATTGTATTTATCTGTTTTATTTTTGATCTTATAATTATTCACTTTTAGCCTATTATACTATGTCTAAAAAATATATCTTATGTTTATATACTAATACAAAAGTATATACCATTTTACACAGCTATACATATATTAGAACGTCAATTCTGGACTCTAAAGATGTTTTACCTATTTTCTATATTTTTTATTAATCATGAAATCTGTGTCTCCAATATTCCCTGCACTTTCCAGAACTATTTTGTATGTTTAAATATTTTTTATTTTATTTTGCTGAAACTTTAGCTCTTCCCCCTGCCAGCACAGCCTCTATCCTTCCCATGGCCACCAATGCTGACTACAATACCAATACTCCCCGCGGCCGCGGCCGTCATCTAAGATGGCCGTCGATATTCAAAATAAGTACATAGTCAAATGACCATTTCAATATGTCAGTGTTTATCACATATAAGCTTCAAATATAACCAATATATTAATCCCATCTCTCTCAATATATAGATGGACTCTAAAGATGTTTTACTTATATATTTTCTAATAATCATGAAATCTGTGTCTCTAATATCCCCTCCACTTTCCCTTTTCCATAATATTCTTTTTATTATCCAGCCCAGGGTAAGGTCTCTCCCTAAGGCTATTTGCCTGTTTAAAAATTATTAATTTATTATTTTTATCTACCCAGAACTAGGTTGTCTGTTTATTTTTTTATTGACTACTTTATTATATCCGTTTTTATTACATATAAGCTTCATTTTTAAATATAACCAATATATTAACCCCATCTCTCTCAACATATAGAGTGTTGGACTTACAGCTCCATAAAACGTGAGTAGGACTATATCGTTTTCCTGTTATTTTCATTTGTTTCATATGGACTCCACTGCTGAACCCACCCTGCTACACCCATTGAGGAATTATCCAGACACTTGGTAGAAAAATACTTCTGATAAGTGCATATCTACATTATCTCTTGGACTTCTTTTACCATTTTGGACTTTTTAGAAACATAGGAAACATAGGATGTGACGGCAGATAAGAACCATTCGGCCCATCTAGTCTACCCAATTTTCTAAATACTTTCATTAGTCCCTAGCCTTATTTTATAGTTAGGATAGCCTTATTCCTATCCCACGCATGCTTAAACTCCTTTACTGTGTTAACCTCTACCACTTCAGCTGGAAGGCTATTCCAAGCATCCACTACCCTCTCAGTAAAGTAATGCTTCCTGATATTATTTTTAAACCTTTGTCCCTCTAATTTAAGACTATGTCCTCTTGTTGTGGTAGTTTTTCTTCTTTTAAATATAGTCTCCTCCTTTACTGAAAACATGTTTTTACAACTTGTTCTTTCCCATTTTAATGAATAATCTACACAGTATTTATCTAATCTCAATTTCAACCTACTCGTCAACTTTTCATCAAGAACCTTTGTAAATGAGAAGCACATTTGACTTACAAATTTTTCAAAGAAAACCAATGGCTTCACTGGGGATCGAACCAAGGACCTTCTGTATGTAAAGCAGACGTGATAACCACTACTCTATGAAACCTATATATATATTTATTTTATCTATTATATAATACATACTGTATATATCATTGTACACATCACAATTGTGGCGCTACCCCTAGCTCTTTCTTTTTTTCTGTCAAAGGAATCCATGTTTAAAATGAATGAGGCAAAATGTGATTCTTTGTGAAACTAATTTGCATATTCCCTCCCAGAATCCATATATATATATATAATTTCTCAGCTGTGCAAGCTATACAGTATTCCGTGAAAATGGTTACCATCAAAATGTCACTGCCTCAGTTTAAATATAATTTAATTTTATAATTAGAATGTTGCAATTTTCAAATAAATGGACAGTACTTAAAGTAGTATTCACCTCCATTTGCTTAAACTCATATTGTTTTAGATCAAATCAAGTGTTTGATTATTTGTCTATCTACTCCTTTTTAAATTGATTAATTAATTGCGTGCACACTTTCCTAGAAGTAATTCACACCGGAGACATAGTTTCTGATTAGTGAAAACCTAAGGAATGGTTTATTCCAAGGGGTGGGATCCCCTTTTAAAGCAGAAATACGTCATGTTCAGAGTCACAGTTAACGTAAAGTATACATTCAACAATTGGTTAACAGTCTAAGGGGTCTTGTCTAAACCCACCCTACAGGATGTAATGTCATCATTACAGAGCTCTCCCACCCACATTCCAGCCCCATCTTGGTTACACGATGGTAGGGGGAGTGAGTAGTTACTGAACAAAGAAGGGACTGAAGGGGAAACAGTTACTTTAACAGTGATTCTCCATTTTGATACACATGGCAGAGAACTGTTAGTTGCGCAAAGGAAGTGGGGGAGGGGTTAGTAAAGGAAGCTGTTCCTTTAACACAGGAATCTGTTGCACGAGGCTTGCTTGATGGGAAGGGGGGAGGGGAGCAGGATGGGAGGAGTTTACAGAGGAAATAGTTACTGAGCACACAGAGGGGGGGGCAACATTCACTGAATGAACACACATGTACAGAGAAAAATAGACATTTTATCCATTCAAGTATTTTGTCCATAACAATATTAGTGTGTAATTTACTTTATTAATTTTTAATATCATTGAACTGACAATGTCATCAAAACATGAACCATAATGTCTCCCTTTACCTTGAGTGGATTATTTTTAAGCTGCTTAGTAGTTCTGATTTTTTTAAAAATAATAAATATTGAATAAGATTTCTAGTTAACCTTTGAATCTTTTTGGGCACAATAGGCAAATAGCTCTTGAAGTAGCCTGACTGTTGGTGAAGCTTTGAAAATTGTAATGGTTTTCCAGCATTGGCAAGTTCCATAATATAAAGCTGAAATCTTCAAGTGATATTTAAAACTAACATATACGTAGTTTAATAAATGAAAATCGTATGGATCTCCTGGATATCCGAATTTAAACAGATTGTTGTAAAGATTTTTTTGTCACAATGATGTTTTGATGTGAAGTTATTGCACTATGCCATTCATTTTAATTTAACATAACATTTTGAGACCCATATCAACTACATCAACTGATTTATGTATTTCCATTCTGGAGCTTGCTCTGTTTTTTAATGTTGTTCTTCCTTTTTACTATGTGAATAATTGCTTGCTGTCAGATACTGAAAGGTGAACTATTTATTTACCATTGTCAAATGTCAAGCTGCCTTGCTCTCAGGCACAAACATTAGTAATTATAAGTAGACAGTGGTCTATCTTTAGCAACCTGGATTACTTGTATCATGTCCTCCTAATTAGGGACACTAGAGTAAATCTTATATCTCAAAAGTTTTGTTCCCAACTGATATGGGAAGGGATATGACTGCTACAGTGGGTATGTGATGTACAATACATAGGGAGGAACATGTTAGAGTTGTAAAGGGAGGTGTTAGAAATTATGACCCTTTGTCAAGGTTTTAACCTCACCAGTAAGCGCCCTCACCTGGGCAAGACACCTTATGATATATATACCCCACCCACCAATAATATGAGAGATACACAAATTAAGATGGCAATACCAACTCAGATGTTGCCTGAATTAACAAGGTCCATGTCAGATGTTAGGGAACTAGGGCAATCTGATGAAAGGTGGCCTACTGGAACAACCAATTCCTGGACATGGACTACTACAACATCAGGCCCACTGAGAGGAGCTACATGAAACGTATGATATGGGAACTATGGATGAATAAGAGACCTTTATTTACCCCAACACTAAAACCGTTAGTTACACAACATTTGAACATTGTCAAGAGGAAGCTAGTGAATTAGATGGATTACACAACCATCACACATGAGTCATGAAGAATGTGAAATTCCCATACCCACACCCATACTTGCAGAGGGTTCCCAACCTGAATATCCGAACAGAAAGCTATCAGTCCTTGATCACCAGACAGTATGCTAGCTGCAGTTAATGAGACACTGTCCACAATCCCAACCAGCACCAAGATAACAGCAATATGTAAGGAACTTGGTGAAATAAATCAACTTCCCAGAGGTGAAAATATCCTGGCTACTGAGGAAATACAATGCCATATCAGAGGCACTGGAAATTGCTAAGCAAAGGCTGACCACATTGGCAACCAGACTGAGCAGATACACGAGAAAAGCAGAGGCTAAGAGAATAAATGCCCTGTTTACCAAAGAACCATCTGCACAGCGGCAGGGTGACTAACCACATGAGACCCACCCAGTACTGAACAGTACTGAAAGAAGCATCACAAAACACCAAGGCTACTAGATCTGAAAGCAGACCACTCCCAAAACAGGAACCAGTCACCATCACAGTTAGAGATATCCAACAGCGAGTAGCCTACATGAAGAATTGGTCTGCCCAAGGACCTGACATGATCCACACCTACTGGGCTGGACTTTCCAGATGGGAGATCAGAATGACAGGGCTGAGATCCTGTGGAACCTTTGGATCCAGACTGACAAGCAAGTAGTGACCAACCAACCAACCCCTGACATTGTGGTGGTAGACAAGGAAGTGGCCCCCGATCAGAGCATATGCTTTCCCACCGTTTTCGATGTTGGCGAGGGTGCATACCTCCGCGGTTATCGTGACCCCGAGGGTCGTATGAGTGTCCTAGTCTCAGGTGGTGAGCTTTCAATCTTTGCATGGCCCGGTAGTGGAGAGGTCCTGGGAAGATTTTTTGTATGGAGGACGACAGTAACCTGACTATCCTGGCCAGGAGTCATAGCGGGTCGTGTCCTTCCGCAGAACCCGTCGTATCTCTTTTCGAATGTTCGCAATTTTCGATTTGAGAAGGCGTAGGATGCATGTTATCGAGTCTATCTCGAATCCTAGGAACTGGACGGTTCTCGATGGAGAGAGTGATGACTTTTCTGTGTTCACAATGAAGCCTAATGATTCCAGAAAGTGCACTATAAATCTCATTTGAGATCGAAGTCTGGACACACTTTCGCAGAATATCAGTATGTCATCCAGGTATATCAGGCAATGGATACCTTTTGCTCTTAGATGCGCCATGGCTGGCTTCAGCAGTTTTGTGAAGCACCAAGGGGCTGAACTGAGGCCGAATGGTAGGCATGTGAATTGGTATGTGCGACCCTTCCAGCGGAAGTGGAGGAAAGGTCGGCTAGCATGGGCTATCGGGACAGACAGGTAAGCATCTTTTAAGTCTAGTCGAGTGAACCAGTTGGATTCCAGTAGTAGGTCTCTGAGGAGGTGTATGCCTTCCATTTTTAAATGTCTGTAGGTTACGAATGTGTTTAATTGTCGCAAATTGATGACGGGTCGGTAGTCCCCCGTCTTCTTTTGGACTACGAATATGTTGCTGATAATGCCTCTATCGTCCGGAGCGAATTCGACTGCTCCTTTGTCTAATAACGTTCGGATCTCATTGTCTATGAGTTTCACATGCACCATCGACGCCCGTATCGGGGGTGGGCGGCGGGTTTGCACTGGTGTGTCTGTAAAGTCGATCTCGTAACCCATAATCGTTTGGAGGATCCAGGCATCTGAGGATATCTTTTCCCAGTTCTGTGAAAAAAGAGACAGTCTGTCTGCTGTTATATGTGACTGGAAATACATTAGATGTGGAGTGCTCACCTGCATTGAAGCGCCCGGGGGCGCGGGTGTGAGCTCTCTGGGATGGAAGGATCCCCTAGAGAAAGGTGTTCTTGAGGATGGGAAGAAGGCTTGTGCCGTCTGATTCCTGGGGCCTGTGGGCCAGAAGCGGTTGGTGGCTCGGACCCTCTGGCGACCAGCCCTGCCGAAAACCCCTCTGTGTGGTGTGGGGTTGCGGAAACCTTGTTTAATAGATGTTTGTGCTTTACTTAAAGTAGTGAATAAATTCACGTGCTTCTTTAATTCGCAGATGAATGAATCTCCAAAGAGTTGGCCATTCGCCAGAGGTCCCATTTCCTTCTTGCCGAGATCTAGGATTTTGGAGTCCATCTTTAGTAACGCAGCCTTGCGTCTCTCTGCACATATGGCGATGTTTGTGTTGCCCAGCATGCAGATAGCTCGTTGTGCCCATTCTCGGATGTCGTGGGCATCTAGGGCAGTGCCCCTTGTGAGGGCCACATCCGCGAAATATAGGATTTTGGCTAATGGACCGAGCATGTCCAGTAATTTATCTTGGGAGGCCTTCAGGCCCTTCTCAATGCCTTTATGTGGGTCATGGCCTGCTCGTGACATGAATAAAACCACAGTGGTATCGAATTCCGGGGTGTGTGCAATTTTGTCTGGTAGTATGGGTCTTGGGCATTCGGCCCTTAGTCTTGCACGCACCTCCTTCTCCATTGGTTTTCTCAGCCAGAAACGGATGAATTGGGCCAGGTGTTCTGGCAGACCCCATTCTGACGACCTTGGGTGGCGGATCGTACGGGGGTCGAACATAGGCTTACCTTAGGGGTCTAGGAAAGAGCCCTCCTCTGGCCTGCCTTCCTTTGTCTGCAATGGATGTCCTGGTCCTCGATCAGGTCAGACTCTGAGCCATCCCGCGGCATGTCTTGCCAGTCATCTTCCTCCGATGGAGAGTTCCCTGCTCTCCATTC